GGCTGGAGTTTTGGCTCTCTCCCTCTGCATTCCTCCGGCAGCTCTAGATCTTGTTGGAGCTCTTCCTGCAGCTTTCCTCACCTTCCCACATCGGGCACACACTCTGTCCTCCATGGACAGGGCAGTAGTGTCCCAGCAGTGGGGGCATTTGGGCAGCAGTCCACAACCCCGCCAGCCCCGGCTCCTTCCCAATGCAGCTTTGCTCTTTTAAAGGGCAGTTTGGAGTTCTTAAAACCCAGATGAGGCATTTAAACAGTTCATCATTCAAATGTGCTGTGCTCAGTCACTTCGGCTGTGTCCAACCCTGTGCAATCCTATGGACCGTAGCCCGCCAGGCTCCTCTGTCTGTGGGATTCTCCAGGCAAGAATACTGGAGTGGGTTGCCATGCCCTTCTGCAGGGGATCTTCCCAGCCCAGGGATTGAACCTGCGTCTCTTATATCTCTTGAATTGGCAGGTGGGTTCTTTACCACTGGAGATAATCAGAGAAAAGAGGCGGTCCCTGACCTCAAGAAGCTAACAGTGTAAGAGTGAGATATGCAGTGTGATCATTGCTGTGTACAGGATGGATATGTGTGCATGTGAGTTTATACATATGTGTGTGTTATAATGGGAGTTCAGGAAAGGTAAGCCCTCAGGTTCCCCTGGGGGATTCAAGTAACGGACAGCCAATAGCATGACCATCCTAACCAGAGAAGTCTTCTTCTCTCAGTCTTTATGGAAAGAGTTCTGCTTGTGGAATTTTCGCTGTGGAGAAAATTACAAGTCACAACCTGTATTTTTCTTCTCTCTCTCTCACCCCTTGTTTTTAGGGGGAATCATTAGGAAATCAGAATACTGGCTGACACCTTGCTAAGAGTATGATCTTGCACACATTTCTTTTCCCTCCTGTTTTCCCACTGGTGGTACCCAGGCCACCACATTGTTATGTTTGAATGAGTTCATAATGTTGAACTTTTAGAATGGCATACAGCATGCAGAAAACATTCAGTAATGTTATTGTAAAGTATTGCTGTCACCATTTATCATCATGATCTCTTTTGAATCACTTTCCTGCCATAATCATATGGAAGAAATGTCTTGATTCAGGCCAGATTTTCTCTTATTTATGGTTCAGGAGTTATCCTCTAGGATGTCTAAGGCAACTTGTAGTCCTCTGGTTATATTACGTAAGTGGGTGTGTAATGGAGCCATGTGGATACCACTTCCAAATGAGGGGTTGTGTTTGTTTAGGAGTCAGACATGACTGAGCAGCTGAAGAAATTGTTAATTTTCTCTAAGATCATTTATAATGCTCAATTTATATTAGAAAGTTGACTTCACATTTTTTTCCTTTAAATTATGTAAGTATTGTTTTTAAGAGATAATGAGGATGATCTTTTAAAAGACACTGAGTTTTACTCTAAGCTATATAATTATCATCATAACTAAAAGTGATTTTTGAAGTAACTTCTTTTAAAATATTAATAGACAAAGTTGTAGAATCAGGTTTTGAGGGTGTTATCAGCCATATGTTGTATTTGCTTATAAATCTTTAATGAAATAGAAAACATTGTATAAATGTTGCTGAATGTAGATATTGCCAAATTTAAGAAGTACTAAATATGAATACTTTCTCCTTACTCTTCAATGAACAAAATGAAATCTAAGTCATATCAAAGTGAACACGTTTGTTTTTTTAATAGGGAAAGCTTGAATTCAACTTTTATAAAATGATTATAAATGAGTCAGTCCTTGTTTCTTCCAAATTTGATAGAGTATGTTAATCTTTTAAAATTTAAATATTACAGTATCATATTGTGACTAGTGGCATGTATGTCTTTATATAATTTTCTTCCAGCCTCTTCCTTCATAATGTCTATAAATATTTTCTTATAACATTTATACATATGCAAGAATGACTATATTTTTGAAATATTAATCAAAATATAATGCCTTCTCAGAGAGCATTTCTTTGGCCACTGATTCAAGTAAACCTATACTCACAAAAATGAGATATTTTCTCATTGTTCCTGGAATAGGACCCCCCAAAAAGTATGTAACTTATAGAAATCTAGTAAAAATACCAAGGCACACAGTACCCACAGGATAGAGTCTATTGTGACCTAAGTAAGTTTACATTGTGAAAGTGGCAACATTTTAACATAAAAAATTAGACAATACACAGTTGATCCTTGAACAATGGAGGATAAAAAATTAGACAATACACAGTTGATCCTTGAACAATGCAGGATAAAAAATTAGACAATACACAGTTGATCCTTGAACAGTGCAGGGGTTAGGTGCGCTGCCCCTCTGCATATAACTTAGAGCTGGCCCTCCATATCCATGGGTCTCCTCTCTCTCTGTGGCTCCGCATCAGGGTATGTGTAGTTCCATAGTTTTTATTATTTAAAACTGCATATAAGTAGACCCAAACAGTTCAAACCCCTGTTATTCGAGGGTCAGCTATAGCTAAGCTAGGGCAGACAGCCTTTCCCGCACCATGGGCAGTGCTCTTGGTAGGAGTTACCTGGAGTATGGGCTGAGAAGGTTCCCAGGCTCAGAGAAGAAAGGTGGGAGGATCCGTTAGTGACATCCACCATGGGTGTGGGCTGTTAGCCCTGGATGGGGAGCAGCACGTGTTTTCCACCCTTAAATGAGTAGGTGGGAAGGGAAGCAGAGAACAGGAGCCCTCTCATCTTCATCTTCTGATTTATAACTTGGGATCTTTCCCCAATTCTGCTGGATGATGCCCTTTCCTTTAAAACCCTGCTTTGTAGGCACAGCCTTCCTCAAGGAAGATGCACTGAACAGGATCCCTGGGAAATGAGCTGTCATGACAATTTAAATCTACCAGGAAGTAGATGGGTTGCCATCCTTGTGGTTGTGAGAATGATGTTAGATTCCTCATATGCTCTTTTCAGATCTAAGAATTTTTGTATTTTTCATTAACATGCCCATAATTGACTGAATCCTCTGAAACTTTCTGAGAACCCCACTTGCCTATATTTTAAAGAAGGGGTCACACTTAAACAAAGAATAGTTCTTTATTCTGATGGAGTATCATCCTTAATGTATCTCAAGAAATAGGAAACTAATGTCTAATATCCCTGGGAAATGTACAACATGCAGTAGAAATTAAAACATAAGGTGTTTCTCTCCTGATTTTCTGCCCCTCTGTACTACCAGTAACATTTTATAAAATATAAATAGTTACATCTGGGGTTTCCAGTAGGAAAAGAACAGTCATGAAATCAAATGTATCTTCTCACCTTATATATATATTATATAGTATTTTGGTGAACATTGAATTTTAAATAAGCTCAGTGGAGATTTACATGAAGTGGACCACGTGTGGTGGGCAGTAGGGAGCCGGTGATGGAAAGAAAATGGTACCTGCCTTGGGGAGCATTTATTTGTGAGCAGAGGTCCTCCAGTTTGTCTCATCACTGTAAAGCAGGTACATTAAAGCAGGTATATATACATTAATTAGCACCTACAAAGCAAGTACTTATGTAGAATACTAAGATCATTTATCTTTTGTTTACTATAAAGCTATCGTCCTCAAGTGCCATGAAAGCCAGCCTGTGGTGTATGTGTTCTGAACAAAAGTGGATCCATTAGGATTTTAGGATCTGCCTAGCCATCTTTAGCTAGAGAACACTTTGGCCTAGTGACTTGTATTTGTGTGGAAATGAAAACCAGAGTTATTGGGAAATATAGTCACAAAGGGAGGACTTTAAAATTGCAAAAATAGCATGAATCAAGAAGAGTATAAAACCATAATTTCTCCATCATTACCAATAAACATTTATGGGGGCTCCCCAGCATGACTGTTCTGGATTTTACATCTTGGGCTAGACTTTCCTTTGCCTTTTGTTCTTGCTGTCCTGTAGTTGCCCAAAATGTTCTCTGTTAATTTGCCAATGACATTTAAAAAATATAGGCCAGTGTGTCTATGGGTTTTAAAAAAATTAAAACTAATTTTGGTGAATCTATAACAATTTATAGACGAGTGTAACAATTAAGGCCTCAGGCTCTTGAATTAGACAAAGTTGGTTTCGAATATTGTTTCTGCCACATGCAAACTTGGACCACACGCCTGCCTTTCTAAACTTCAGTTTTCTCATCTCTAAAATGAGAAAAGGAAGCTTCTTCCTACTTATAGGGTTCATGAGGATTAATGAGGTAATGCAAGTCACATACTTAATTCTTCTCCTGTTATATGCTCATAATATTATTAATGTTTTTTTATCTATAGAAACACAACTTCTTATTTTGTCTTCTGCTAGTAATGCTTTTTGAGTTATTGTGTTATGTGCAAACACATAATACAAATTGATCTCTCTTTTTTAGAATGATCATTTTTTTCTCTGAAATTGCACAAAAAAGTGATAAATTCTGTTACTTCACATTTTCTTTTAACACACACACCACCTCCCAACACAAATTTTAAGGCACTGAGACACCTTAGAGAGATTTTCTTAATCAGAATTTAACAAGTGGGTTTATACCCCAGCATAGAGACATATTGCAAAGTGTTTTAAAGTAAAGAGAAAGTTGTCAATAGTTTTGTACACAGCTATTTTTCTTCTTTCCCCTTCAGAATTCCCCTAACACATACTTTCTCAAAAACTATCTTTTATCTTTAAATTCTCACAGTTTGGCCACCATACTCACTTCTACATGCCTAGAGTTCTTTCCTGCACATCGATTTCCTACTCCTCTGTTTCCAACTTTATGAAATCTTATTCATGAAAAACATATTATTTCTCTTATTTGGTGACTATTTTCCCCACCAGGTCAGCTTTAAGTAGAGACAGCAGAGGAAAAACTTGATTTCAGTGATTCAGAGGTTATTTGTACCAGCCATTTAGCAGTGCGCTGATTCTCAATCCTAGCTAAACGTTAGAATCTCCAGGGTTTAAAAAAAAAAAAAATCCTGATGTAAATGGAGAGAGATCCCATAATACCCTGGCCTTATCCCAGAATAATTAAATCAGAGCTTTGGGACAGGAGTGGAATGAGACATCTGTATTTATAGCTTTTCAAGTGATTTTAGTGTTCAGTCAGTGAGACCTGCTCTAGGAGAGGGTTCTGTGAGGCCCGATTAGGTTGGAGTCGTCGCAGGAGCAAGTGAACCGGCAGAAAACCATGGCAAGAAATGTGGGCCGCCATGCTGATATGTTTTGGTGGAGAAGGGAAGAAGAGGGATGGGTCTGTACCTCAAGGATCTCCAGCAGGAAATACAGCATCTTCATACCAGGAATGGGGCTTCCCAGGGGGTGCAGTGGTCAAGAATCCACCTGCCAATGCAGGAGATGGAAGAGATATAGGTTCGATCCCTGGGTTGGGAAGATCCCATGGAGGAGGACATGGCCACCCACTCCAGTATTCTTGCCTGAAAAAGTCCCATGGACAGAGGAGCTTGGTGGGCTACAGTCCATGGGGTTAGAGTCGGACATGACTGAGCAATTGATTGCTCGTGTCAGGGATAACCCACTAGCCTGTCTGTGCTTGCATATATAGCAGTGAGGCTCCGCCGCTTCCCTAGGGCAGGGAGCCAACCATTTAGGGGTTGGAGGTGCACCAGTAGTTTGTGAAAGCTTCTAGATAATTTTAATACACCTGCCCCTTCCTCACTTCCCTCCTTTCTCTCCCTTTCCTTCTCTCTCCAGCCTCCCCTCCTGCCTTTGGCTATCTTTCCATTTTCTTTTACATCAGATAGGAGGGGCCTGGGTACCAGATGCATGATCTCAGAGTCAGCTTCCCTCTTGGTGGTCAAAGATCTGTAACAATTCCAAGCAAGAGTTCTAGATTCAGCCCTATTAGATCATAAAGGTCACACTTCCTGAACCAGTGACTGAAAGTCAGGGAATGGAATATGCCCATTTGCTAAGTCAGTGGAGACTCCCTTTAGTTGGAGGAAATGTCAGCTTCCTGCCAAATACGTGGGAGGGTGTAGGAACAGTGGAACCCTGCAAGGAATCCAGATATTATTTTTATTATTTAAGAATAGAACCTGTAGAACGTTGTTGTTTTTGAGTTTTTAGAAGTATTTGTTTATTTAATTATTTAGCTACCTTGGGTCTTAGCTGCGGCCTGTGGGAATCTAGTTCCTTGACTAGGTTGGAACCTGGGCCCCCTGCACTGGAAGTGTGGAGTCTTAGCCACCGGATCACCAGGGAAGTCCCTGAAATTACGAGAAGAAGGAAAGATGGCCATGGGTGCTCCTAGAAAGCCAGTACTGCCCACTACAGACATAGAAGTCACGGTATAATGAATTTACATATGTAAATTGCTGATAATTTTTGGGGGGACATTTTGAATAGCATACAGAAAATACTACAGTGTTAACTAGGACTTGTCACCATTTATCCAACCTGTGTTTGTGTGTGTGTGAGTGTGTGTGTGTGTAGTTCTGTGCAGTTTTATCCTATATGCAGACTTGAATAGACATCACCACATCCATCATGATACCCTTTCCCCGTCCCCAATTTACTGGTAACGACCAAGCTTTTCTCCATCTGTACAGTTTTGTCAGTTCAAGGCTTATATAAATGGAATTGTTTGAGACCTGACTTTTTTTGTTTATTATCATGCCCTTGACCTGCATCCCTGTTGTGTATGTCAATAGTTCATTCCTATTTATGACTAATTAGTTTTTCATGGTGAAGTGAAGTTGCTCGATCATGTAAGACTCTGCGATCCCTTTGGCTGTAGCCTACCAGGAGCCTCCATCCATGGAATTTTCCAGGCAGGAGTATTGGAGTGCATTGCCATTTCCTTCTCCAGGGAATCTTCCTGACCCAAGGATCAAACCCAGGTCTCCCGCATTGCAGGCAGACGCTTTACCCTCTGAGCCATCAGGGAAACAGATACGATTGTACCACAATTTTTAAGCCATTCTTCCACTGAAGAACACTTGAGTTTTTTTCAGTTTTTGCTACTATGAAAAAACTGTTGTGAATATTTGCATACACATTTTTGTTTGGAGGTAAGTTTTCACTTATGTGAGATAGACCCAAGAGTGCAATTGCTGGGTTAGATGGTAAGTTTAGTTTCATAAAAAACTGCCAAACTGTCTTCCAGAGTGGCTGTGCTATTTTCTTTCCACTACTGATGTCTTTGAGATTCCATATCATCACTAGGGTTTGGTGTTGCCTCCCCCCCTTTTTTTCTGTTCAGATAAGTGTGTAGTGATACATCATGGTGGTTATAATTTTCATTTCCCCAATACCTAATATGTTGAACATCTTTTCATGTATTTATTTATCTATCCACCTCCCCTTTAATGAAATGTCTGCTGTTCCTGTCTTTTGCCTACTGTCTGATTGAATCATTTCTTTTTTCACTGTTGATTTTTGAGAGGTGTTTACATCTCCTGTGTATAAGACCTCTCTCAGATATCGTACTCTGCTGATATTTGCTTCTAGCCTGTCCTGTACCTACATTGACTAAATCTGTAACATTTGATGATTTTCTAGAGGTTCTGATCTTCCCTTGAGGAGATGGCTCCTACTTTTCAAGCAGAAATTATTTTTTTGCATTTTACCATTAACAAACATTTTGTCAAACTTTCTGGGGTTTTATTACAAAAGATGTGATGTTTCCTGTTTCTCTGTGCTCTCTGTTCAGTAAATTTGTCTGCTTCCTATGCAGATGTCTTCCTCACTCATTTTGTTTATGGTGATAGGATTATCTTTGACCAAGATGGTCAGCTCTCATGTACTTTTTGATCTTGTTACTATGCAGTTAGCCCTCTTCAGTATTTATCAGAGTAATACCTTCAACAAAAACCTTTTGTGACTTGGTGAGGTCCTCAGGTTTCCTCTTTGCTTGTTTGTTTTGGCTCTGTGGCCAACTATATTCTGTTGTCCCTTTTTGCCACTGTGTCAAAACGGTCATCAGAGACAACATTCTCAGCTTTGTCAGAAATTCAAGGTGAAGTCCTTTTGGTTTGAAATCTGTTACCTCTGTTATCAGTGTTGAAAGGCTAGCAGCTCTGAAATCCTTGCCTCTCTCCAGCTGGAGAGATGTGAATATAAGTAAAAACTGAAATTTTTCAGGTGAACTACTTCTGGTTAGTGAGTGCCTGCTGTGTGCCAGACATTGCATGCTAGGATGACTTCTGTTAAAAAGACTCTCTTTCAGAACTGGAATTTGATTGCATTTATTATCTTTCTGATCAATGTGTACCTGCAGTGTGAATGATGGGGAAAATCTAGAGCCGCCCTGGCTTGTCGCTTATCTCGCTGCTGCCAGGTTCAGGACGAGGACCTAAGTCTTCTACTCTCTAGAAAAGTATCAATTTGAAACCCAGAGAAGTCGAGATGTTTTGTCAGAGAATGTTTTTTCCACAACACAAAAGATAGCTAATTAGGATTTAACTTTCTAAGAGACCCCAAATAATGGAATTTTTAAACAATCAGAATTTTCAATCAGAAATAAAATAAACCCTAAGCAAAAATATACCCTTCTAAACATCGGGTAATGGGTACCTAGAAAACTTTCTAGTCATATTTCACCTTCATTTTTAGATTACCCCACAATTATTAACATCTTAAGAGGCTAGGTCATTAAATTATTTTGGGACTAGCTCAGAATTTGTTATGTTATAATCAGCTTTGGTCACAGAAAGTCCGGGTTGTGGTGGGGGGGATGTGATAAGGGGGAAAGGTTTCTCTCTACTGCCCCCAGATAAAGCATATAAAAATCTGTTTCTATCTGCAGTGGATTTCTACTTCTCTTGCCAAAGGAACAGTAGATAACGTTTATAAAATATGATCTCTGTACACGTTGCTAGGTTACTCAATTTGGAGTCTTTTTTCTTTACAGTACATAATCATAAAAAGCCACTGGGAGAGATGCAGAGATAAGAGACAGGGAGAGGAAGTCAGTAGGGTGAATAAACGGGAAATTGATATTATCACTAAGGCACTGGATATGGTAATAAATGTGTCCCTAGAAAAGATATTTGAATCCTAGCCAAGATGGGGTTCCATGTAGCCGCAAACTCTCGTCAAATATTTTCAATTTTAAAATCTTTGGTTTTTATTTTCCAAACTTCCTCAGAAGTGAGCGTTTCTGTGTAGATCCTTAAGAAGTCATCTTAGTGAATGAAGTGATAGTTTCCTCCAAATTACACACAAGAAACGCCGTTTCTGTTGTGGACTCTGACTCTCTGCCCTCATCCCTGTCTGACTGTGTCTCACTCACGTCATCAGCAGCCCTAGCATTCATCTCTAACGATACTTCTGATTTCCTGTAAATGAGCCCTGAGTTTACCTGAAGAATCTGAGTCTCCATAGCTGCTCTTGGATGTTCTCTGAAGAACACAGATAGGTCAGCTGTCACCGTCTTCCTGCCAGGGCTGGTCTGTTGGCCATCCGACCATCTGGCCCCGTTCCCTTATTGCTCCGTCATCTCCCTTTGGGTGTGTACCCTCCCCCCTCCTCCCAGGCCACACTCCCATGAGCCATCTTTCCATCTCTGGGTCACACGAGCTCTTTCCTGCCTCCAGGCCTGTTTTGTGAGCTGGCAGGGATGCTCCTGGTGCCCCATGGTTTTCAAACGTGTCCTCCTTAGGAAGCCCCTCCCTGAGCACAAACAGCTTGCTAACTGTTACAGACCTCTGCCTGCCCCCTTTCTTTTTTTTTAAAAATGAATTTATTTATCTTGGGCTGTTCTGGGTCTTCTCTGCTGCCTGGGCTTTTCTCTAGTTGCACTGAACGGGGGCCACTCTCTAGTTGCGGTGTGTGGGCTTCTGATGGCCAGGGCTCCTCCTGCTGCGGGGCACCAGCTCTAGGCACGGAGGCGTCGGTAGTGGAGGCTCCCAGGCTTAAGTGCTCAGGCTCAGTTTTTTGTGGTGCAGGGCTTAGCTGCTCCACAGCATGTAGGATCTTCCTGGATCTGGGATCAAACCCGTGTCTCCTGCATTGGCAGGCGGATTCTTTACCACTGTGCCTGCTCCCTTTCTAACACTTCCTGATACCTATTTCTCCCACTGGAATGCAAAACTCTCTGGAGGTAGGCTCTGAAATGTTTGATTGATGAATGATGGAATACATTAATTAAAAAAACTTTCTTTTTGGCTATGCGGTCTTGCTGCCGGCAGGCATTCTGTTGTTGTGGTGGGCTGGGGTCACTCTCTAGCTGTGATACATAGGCTTTCGTTGCAGTGGCTTCTATTGTTGTAGAGCTTGGATTCTAGGCACAGGGGCTCTTTGTTGTGGTGCATGGGCCTAGTTGCTCCTAGTTGCCTAGGATTCCATGGTATGTGGGATCCTAGTTCCCAGACCGGGGATTGAACCATGTCTCCTATATTGGCAGATGGGTTTTAAGCACTGGACCACCAGAGAAGTCCAAATGCATGAATTAAAAAAAAAAATATCAATATCAAAGTCCCCAAAGCTCCTTGAAAATCGGTAACTGAACTGAATTTGAAAAGTGATCTGTGTGAAGACAGCAGGGGACAGTGTTATAAAGTAGTCGGTTTGGGGGCTTCCCTGATGATCCAGTGGTTCGGATGCTGAGCTTCCACTTTAGGAGACATGTGTTCAATCCCTAGTCAGGGAACTAAGATCTCGCATCCCTCATGCCATGCAGCTTGGCCTCAAAAGGAAAAAAAAAAGTTTTGGAATGGAGGTGGGCCTGTGTATGTCTGCCCTTGGGCTGGAAGGGAAATGAGGATAAAGAAGAATAAGCTCTGGGGAGCTAGGAAAAACTTCGAACCTAGGGAGGGACCCAATTTCAGTGGCAGCAGTGTGGCATCTGGTGGGTGAGTAAGAAGCTTCCATTTGAATCGCTGAGGAGG